GCCGGATAGCTCTGCTGAAAGAGATTAGCGGTAGATTGATAAGCATAGAATTTGGAATGCATTGGAGTTATTACTTACCGCCGGTGGGTACCAGTAGCCCATTTGTTGGTATGCTGCCGCATAGGGATACTGCGCCTGCGCCGCCGCCGTGGCAGCAGCTATCTGTTGGGGTGTCATCATTTGGCCGGGTAACGCAGCCCCAGTGGCTGCAGCGATCTGTTGCTGCGTCATCATTTGTCCAGGCATGCCGGCAGCACCCGCAGCAGCGGCTGCATTGGCTGCCGCAACAGCTGCCACATTGGCGGAGGCAGCCGCCGCAACGGCTGCATTGTTGGCCGAATTATCGCCACCGTTTTCCTTGCCCCAGAAGCACTTGACATGATTGCCGTGCACCTCGCTGTTGTGCGTATGTTCTATGGCGCGTGCTGCCGCTTCTTTTGAAACGAATTTGATGAACGCGAAGCCCTTGTCCTTGAAAACGCGTACATCCTGTATGGGGCCAAATTGCATGAAATGCTTATGCATCAGCTCATCGCTGATGACATTGGGCGGAAAGCCGCCACAGTAAACGGTGGTGTTTGTGGGACTCGATTGATTGTACACCTCCTCGAAGGTGTGTCGTTGGTTCTTAATGCCATTGCCGGCGCCGCCGCCGCCGCCCATGCCACCCATGCCGCCACCTTGGCCACCCGACTTGGAGGATTCCCGCGGAGGCGGCAATTTGCGCGTTGACCAATTCGTGCGTATAGAACGTGAACCAATCCATTGGCCGTTCATTGCCTGTATGGCATTCTCAGCTTCGGCCTTCTTAACAAATGACACAAAGGCATAGCCCTTCGATTTCATGGTCTGTGGATCGCGCACAATGCGACAGTTTGATATCTCGCCAAATGGCGCGAACGCCTCGCGCAGTGTCTCCGTCTCAATTTCTGGACTAAGGTCTCCTACAAATATGTGATGGTGCGAACTGATGTCTGTCTTGGGCGTATTGCCCGGACTAGTGGCCCAGTTGACCTGCAAGTAGGCATAAATTTAGCTGTCAATATAAATATATATTTATGACTATATTTTGAGGAAACGCACCTTGATCTCTTTGTCGAGAAAAACACGTTTGTTCATGGCCGTCAGGGCGGTGCTGGCCGCCTGATAATTGGAATATTCGATAAAGGCATAGGGATCATTGCCTGGTTCCCGTATGATTTTACAGCTCTTAACTGGACCCATTTTGCCAAACAGCGCGATTAGCAGATCCTCCGAAACCGAGCCATCCAGATTGCCCACATACAATGTTTTTGGCTGCGACTCGTCCATGTTTGCCAGATGCAAGCTGCTGATCCTGATGTTTTCTGTTGATTTGGTTTTACCTATTGCTTCTGGTGCTGCTGCTGGTGCTGCTGCTGGTGCTGCTTCTGCTCTTGCTGCTGTTGTCGTCCTTTGGATGCGTTGTATTAACTATTCTACAACTAATGTCCACATCAATACAAAAACACTGTTATCAGAAAAACTAGATGCCTGCGATTTCTAACTATTTTGTTTTTGATATAAAAATGCAATGCACGCACGTTCACAATCATATACAAAATGTATATATATATTATATATATCGTTCAACTTGAACAACTAAGACTTCAGTTAATGACTAAAACAACGAAAACTTTTCTAATTCTTTTTTTTTCTTCTGTTATAAATTTCTTCTTCTCTCTGTTCAAAACAATTTTGAATACCGATTCCGATTCCGATTGTGGACTATATAACTACTCTATATTTAAATATATCAGTGTATATAGTTCTAGATATATTTTTTTAATAGTAAATCTTTTTGCTTAACGCTGAGGTTCGTCGTTTATTGCTTTCGCTTTCGCTGTTGTTGTTTCAGTTGCTGTTGCTGTTTGTTCTCGATAAATTTCTTTAATATATATTCTAACTATGCGCTAATGGAGTGTTTTGGAATATATTGATGTGCTCTCTAGCTTGTTGTTGACTCTAGTTGTTGTTGTTATTGTTGTCTACATACTCCTTGAGAGTTGTACATTAGAGCTCGAGCTTAATTTATATATTACTCTATACCAAACGTTTTTGTTGTAGAAAATATATATATATATATATATATATATATATATATATGTTATCTCAGTGCTGCGGTTGATAGCTTGCATGTATATCAACCGAATTTCTGCTCATTTCTGGTACAAAATTGTATGTATTTATATGAAAACACTTGCTGAAGTGAAAGTTCGCCAGATGATTGATTGGATTCGTAGTCGAAGACCGGAATCACTGCAACAAGAACGAATATTAAGCAATAAAATGTACATTAGTTAAGGCTAAGAATAGTTAATATGTATATGCTGTTATAACTTATTGTGTGTGTGTTTTGAAAACATTAATTATTTAAAGTCCACAATTCAAGCAAACAGCACATGATCGAATTAAAGGTATGGGGAATTAGGCGAGCATTTGATATGGACAATGTTGTACGAGTGCTAGTGCGAATATGAAACAAAGGCAGCGGGTAAAGCAAAAGCATTGCAGACACACACACACACACACACAGAGAGCGAGAGACGCACGCACACAAACACCCGCATGCGAATACTCTCTCAAAAACAGAATGTGAAGCGAGGGCCGAAAGTTTCAGTTATTGGCACTAATGTGAAAACCTAATGTTTGGCCATTTTAAATGCAGCAGGCAGCCAGAAACACAAGTTGTATTTCATAAATTGAACTACACAACTTTCGCGATTCAATTAGCAATATTTTTAAGTATATATAATTATAGAGCATTAACAAACTCACGCACACACACTAACACACTCGCGCGCGCATAGAAAAAAAGGGAGAAAGAATGAACGAAAATCAACTAGGAGATGAATGACCGTCGATAACAAAATACACAATGGAAGAGAACATGGAGAAAGGAAAATTTGCAAAAACCGAAACCGGCCAACATAAAAAAAAAAACCCACACGGTTGCATTAGTTTAATATATCTAAAGCGGATTTGATCGATTTAATAGCATAACAAATGCATTTAAATGCCAATTTTAGTTGCAATTTAAAAGCCGCATAAACTTGACTTTGTCAGCGATGAAACGAAGCGTTTGTCAAAGTCACAGTTAAAATAAAAGAAACGGCGGCGACACGGGCGGAAAAGCCAGAAGGCGTCGCGTTTGTCTTTTTGTTTGCGTTTTGGGTTGCTTCTCACATGAGTTGCCACTTATTTTGCTTTTGATAATTGAACGTTGAAACTCATTCCAATGTAAATTACACTGTCGATTTTTTTTTATTAGAATATTTTGATTTTGCTCAAGCAAGGCAAAATTTTTTGTCCGCGACGTTTTTTATTTTTTTTTTAATAATATATATATTCATATACATGCATGTATGCATAATGTATAAATGCATGTATGTATGTGCATATGTATGTACATATCTTGTTCACTTTTCTGCTGCCATCTTTTATGCTAAGCGTTGTTCGATTTGCTCCCCTCCTACCCGAAACCGATGCGGAAAGCTAGAATTATCATTAACACAACTACCACCGCTGCTGCCATCGTCGAACACTGCGCATTGTACATGGCTGGCATTGCTTTCAGCTTAGAATTTCAGATTTCATTTCCAAAATTCACTAATTTTATTGCGTTCTGTGACGTGGCTGCGGTTGTAAATTTACCGCATTCCACTTCATCATCGCTATATTAACACATATCATTCGTCAGTAATTTACAGCCGCTACCGGTTTTTAATATATTTCAATTTCTTTCGCTGTTATATTGGTTAAATAGTTCTATAAACGCGTCGCCAAATTTTTACCTTTCGTCGTCTAAAATGCGAACTAATTAAATGAGCACTTTGTGTGTAGAGTAAGTGCTGCCAACTCAGTTTAATTGTCTTGTTTCAATGGCGGCAACTTCACAAAGTGTTCAGAAACAATATAAGCGCTGTTCTTTCTGACCTAATAGTTTCTTATTTTAACATGTGTAGTTATCACAAGTGTCTTGCAATTAAAATCAACAACGTTTTAACAAATTTAAAACGATTTTAACAATCTTTTAAAAATATGGCAACACTGTGCAGTCTGATAAACGCTTGCATCATCGCTTTCTCTTTCTAACGCTCGCTCAGGGGGCTGAAGTAGCTGCACAAAGCAGAATAGCTAAGAGAAACAACAGAAGAAAAGAAAATTCACAAAATGCTGATTAATATTTTCTTAAACAATAAACAGTTAATTGCCGTCAAGACAAACGGTTTAAATTTTAAACAAATATGCACTCACATCGAGGAAACAACAGTAAGTACTTCAAATATTTGTCAATTTCCAAAAATTAATGTCAACACCTTCCATAGAATTTGCAATCTGAAGATTATTATCTCACGTGCAATGGCAAACGTTTAAATGAAGACATTGATGGACAACATGAGATTGAGAGCATCCATTGCATCCTCCGCCAGGTGGGCGGTAAGGGTGGATTCGGCTCTATGCTGCGGGCCATTGGCGCCCAAATCGAGAAGACCACAAACCGAGAGGCTTGCCGTGATTTGAGTGGACGTCGCTTACGCGACATAAACGAAGAGAAACGTGTCCGGGCATGGCTGGAAAAGCAAGGCGAGCGTGAACGGGAAGCTGAGGAGCGTAAGAAACGCAAAATAGCGAAATTGCTGGCGGTGCCCAAACACGAGTTCAAAGACGACGAATACGAGGAGGCCAGAGCCAAATTGACCGAAAAGGTGAATGATGCATTCGAGGAGGGCCTAAAACAGGCCGAGGAAGCTAAGCTGACTGAAACAGGGGCTGTCGCAGCAACCAAAGATGTCCCAGCTTCATCCAGCACCAATGTGACAGTTGGTTCCAAACGGAAAGGCGACGCCGGCAGCAAAACAACGGCCGCAAAAAAGAACAAGGGCGCGCTTTGGATTGATGATGCAATTTCCGGCAGCGATTCCGACACCGACGACAGCGAAGTGGAAGCTGATACAAAGAGGGCAGTTAAATGTTAAGGAATTTATTTGTAATTCTAAGCAGTAATTTGTATAATATAATTAAAATAATGACAAAATCCACAATTTTATTGCGTGACGAACTGGGATGAGACCCAGGCCAGACCCCATTTCAGATTCGTTAGCATGAACTTTAAAGCTTTCGTCCATTGTTCTTCGGAATTGAATTGTATTCTAAAACGACAGATAAAAATGTAAATTCATTATTGGTAAATGCAGCTAGATCACTCACTTGATGGAGTAGGAATTGTTTGTGGAAGGATCAATTATTTTGCCCTTCTCCATTTTATACGGCAATAGGAATTCGGTGTCGCGCTTCTCCACCTCCATTTGAAACTGCGTCAAGCAGTCCAGAAATGCCACCATGGCCGCATCAAATTTTGTGTCCCAAAAGAATTTAAAGCCACCGCTGCCATAGAGCGGCAGCTCGCGATTGTCGCCTAGCACCTCGACATAGGAATGATTTCCGAACGGAACAACGCGGTAGCGCTCAAACGTCAAGCCAATTTTCCGCGACAATGCTGAAAGAAGCAGCACCGTCTGTCCCCAGGCGGCGTTGATCTCTGACCAGTCGACGGAGACAGACGGCAGGCGTCCCAGTCGAAAATTGTTGATTGTACCAAAGTGTCCGGCATGCCAGATATGAAATGTTATGTTAAATATGTTGGTGTCCCGCAGCTTATCCAGCTGTTGCTTTGAGTAGGCTATCTGGCATTCCAGGCTGCGTTTGTCGTCTTCCGTTAGCATCAGCTCGCGACGATGCTTTGTGTACTCGCGCCAGTAGCTCTCCTCCTGCTCATGCAGCTTTTCCTTCTCCACTTCTTCTTGCTTTATGGCATCATTTAAGTTTTTTTCCTCGGCCTTTAGGTTCGCCAGTGCGGTCAGTAGTTGCTGCTCGCTTTGCTTGAGTTCCTCCAGTTCCTTATCTAGGGCCTCCACATTTGGCCCTTCCTGCTGCTGTTCCAGTTCGTTGAGATAAGTTTTGTAAATATGCCACTCTTCTTCAGCTATGCGCAGCTCTCGGTCCATGATCTCCAGCATGGAATCGGCGCACTCCTCGCACAGCGGATGATCTATCTCCGAGTTCGAGGACAAACAATCGAAGAGCTCTGCTTTCAGCTTGAATGCAGAGCTCAGTTTCTTGCTATCACGCCCGTCCGATACCAGTGTGAATCCCGTGCCATTGATGGAGTCAGTCAGCCTGAAAGGCGGCACAAAGTGGTCAAAGCTGTTGGCATCCTGCGGATCGATAGTGTTCACATTGCCACCATAGATGGGCACTGAAAACAAACCTCATACGTAAGTAAATATTTGTATAATTTTTTTTAACTGTGTCCTACATGAAAGTTCAGCCATAGCATGTACGCTAATCTTCTCCAGATGCTCGTCCAGCACAATGGGCTGCAGGCAGCGCTGGCAGGCGAACGATACCGGCTGCTTTTCCGCCTCACTCATGATTTGGCCGTTGAGTATGTTTTCTAATCAGTGCATAAAACTTAATTTTGCTGCAAGTTAAAGTAAAACACCATCAATCAGCTGTTCGATGCGCTTCTTGCAGAGTTGCCACCCCGCAGCAAAGAGCTGCGGCGCAGTTAGTATTAAAAAAATAAAAAGGTTGACAAAACAATTGTCAACTCACAGAGGCCAAAACAAATGCGTATATAGCTTGAAATAAAAAACAAAAAACCTGTTTGTAAACGACAAACATTGGTCCACTAAAGAGTTTTGGCGTACGCCAGGCAACCTTGAATAACGAATAACGATTGTTGATTATTACAAACAACACGAATTAACCCACCCAAAGGCAATTGATAAGCAAGCAGAAACTGTCGCTCGGAGCGGAGAGCGTTTGTTTTGGTGAGCAAAGCACATGCGACGTAGTCATTATGGCGCCTTCACACACATTCGCAATCTTCCACACATTATCCGTTCATTTTGATCTTTCAGTTGTCGCCAGGCAGTGCTACATTACGGAAGTATTTTTCGCCCTCGCATCTTGCGCATTCATAACTTGATCAGAACCGAATTTGCTGACATAAACTCTAGCAGCTGCAGCTATATGCACATGTTTCCAGATTCAGACAACTATATATTTAATTAGCAGCGCTGTGATTTAGGGCATTTCACAACACACCTCATTTCCATTGTGCCATTCTTTTTGAATCTCAGCGAGAGCAGCGCACGCACAACAACAGCTAATACGTAATACGTAATCGGCAGCGACTGCGGCGGCGTGGTCGCAACAATTGTGGGCGCTGCGCACAGAAAGAACGAGAAAACACACACACGAGAGCTTTGAGCAATTATGGTTTCATATTTTGTGCCGCGCGGTCGCTTTTTGCTGAAGGCGGGCAACATCAGGAAGGCAATACAAGAACAGCAGCAGCAGCAGCCAAAGCATGTGCAACAAAATGGAAATTGGCCGGTGCTCCGGCACTTTCGACAATTGCCATCGAATGCCGCCTCCAATGAGTCAACGGCGGCCAAGCCAAAACCGGAACGCATCAGACAACAGACGCAGCTACAGTTGCGTCGCAATGTGCTCTCACGCTGGACCGGCTTTCTATTGCGCTGGGCACCCATGGGCCTGTGCGTCTTTGGTGCCATCGAATGGCAGTTGCACAAGTTACGCTGCGGACGGGATGGCACACAGCGGACCGCTTCCGAGTTCCAGTCGAGGGTCTATTGCTCGCTGCCGTTGCGCATAATGAGCCGCTGTTGGGGCTGGCTGGCCGCATGTTACATGCCCAATCCGCTGCGTCCCTACATCTATGGCTGGTATTCGAGTATTTTTAAGGTGAACATCGACGAGGCTCTGTATCCGGACTACAATCACTACACCAGCCTAGCCGAGTTCTTTACACGCCCGTTGAAGGAGGGTGTGCGGATCATAGACGCCAATTCGCCTCTGGTCTCGCCAGCCGATGGCAAGGTGCTGCATTTTGGCCGCGCCTCCGACTCGCTCATCGAACAGGTGAAGGGCGTCAATTATAGTATCGAGGATTTCTTGGGACCGCTGCAGACGGTCGAGCAATCGAATGAGCCATTGAGCTATGCCGAGGCGCTGAAAAGGAAACGCGACGGTTCCACGGAGCTGTATCAATGCGTCATCTATCTGGCGCCGGGTGATTATCATCGTTTTCATTCGCCCGCCGCTTGGGAGCCGACGGTCAGACGTCATTTTTCCGGCGAACTGCTATCGGTTAGCCCCAAGGTGGCCAGCTGGCTGCCAGGCTTGTTCTGTCTGAATGAGCGTGTGCTGTACATGGGCAAGTGGAAGCACGGTTTCTTTAGCTATACAGCGGTGGGTGCCACCAATGTTGGCTCTGTAGAGATTTACATGGACTCGGAGCTGAAAACTAATCGCTGGACGGGCTTTAATGTGGGCGCCCATCCGCCGAGCACCTACGAATACGATGAGCTACTTTTAAATGTCAAACAGCCCGATCAGCCGGGTCAAAAGTTCTCAAAGGGTGACCTCATCGGACAGTTCAATATGGGCAGCACCATTGTGCTGCTCTTCGAAGCGCCAAAGAACTTCAAGTTCGATATTGTAGCTGGTCAAAAGATAAGCGTCGGCGAATCCCTGGGACACATCGCGGACCGCAACTAACAAACAAATTCTCTAAAGAGGCCATAATTATGTGTATGTTGTGCACTTGCCTAAAAAGTCTGTCTATTAACACACATGCACAAGCATATAAAATAGCTAAACGTTGTTATTTAAATATGAACTATGTTCTAACTATTTTGTATAAGCATTAAGAGCATTATTAAGCATTATGTACCTATTTGTATTTAGTTGCCAATGATTAAGCTGCGTTCCCTCATAGCTAGTTGTATTTACGATTTCATTAGTAGTAAGAGACATGTTTGTAAACCTATTTTCACTAATAAAGTTCGCATTAAAAAAATCCGGAATTCATGTCTGGCCCCAGTTGCTTACTAGACTATATAGTAAGTCGTGTCGGACAACAAACAAAATTCTATAGAGTCTAGATTTTTGATGATACCACCTTGTTTACTTGTACATGTTGCGCTCAGATTATTCCAATTCTATTCAGTTCGAATCGAGTCTTGGGGCACGCGCCGTTTGATGACGTACGTGACCTGGGCCTCCTCTTGGGAAGCACACACACACACACAAACAGACACACACACATACATATTTACAAATCGTTATCAGCCTAGACGTTGGCGGCGGTCCATGGGAAAAGCCATCCTAATGCGAATTGGGCTTTTGGTTTCTGATAAGACTTTGCTAAACTCAAATTATTCTAATTCGATATAAACAATCTATTAAGCAATAAAAACATGTATATATATATACGCACAACTATTTATATCATTTACAGCCCCAAAATTTTCCACAATATTTTAAGCAATACAATCATGCTCTTTGCTTATCAGATTTGTTTTTTAAAAAAGAAGTAAACACATTTGTTTGTGCATAATTATTATTACCCCAAAAACTATTCAACAATATCTTAATTCAAAAGTAATAATAACATTTTCGCTTATCAATTCTGTGTGGAAATCGTTGCTTGACTTTAATAATGTATATAATGTATGTTTATGTACAGTGTACATATATATGCATGCTTATAGGAGCGAATGTAATTGAATCCGGGATCGTTATTCTATATAACGATTAATTGAATTAATCAAGCAGGGGACGTCAGCCGCAACCAAAATGGCTGGGTATTCGACTTATCAATTCATGTGAACTTGTTTGAGCCTTTGCCTTGACATACACTCTCCACGTATTCGCTGAGTGATAATGCAAGCGCTTGGAAACAAAATATTTAGTTTTTAATAGTTTTTAACATTCAAACTGTCGAAAATTGCTTGCCTGATTAAAAAATTGCAGTCTGGCAACGCCATCTAACAAAACAGCTGAGAACCGGCTTGGCAAATGGTGTCGTTGCCACCTGCGCTCGATTTTACATAACATTTGTTATTAAAGTAGCATTACAATGGCTAAAGTACTTTTTAACTATTGCCCCATTGTGGTTAAAGCAGCAACGGGTATCACACTGCGCCATCTAACAACTGCAGCAGCCAATAAATTCCAGGCGAAGCCAACAATTTTGAAACACATCACATTTGCTGCCACAGAACGTCCTTACAGCAGCGGCCAACCAATTGGCAAAGTGGACTATGCGGAAGTAAAAAAATTGATAAACGATCCACGGAAGCTGCTCATCGATGTACGTGAGCCAAAGGAACTCACAGAAACAGGACAAGTTCCATCCAGCATCAACATTCCATTGGCCATTGTTAGCCAGGAGCTAGCGAGCAGTGAGCAAATCTTCAAATCGAAATATGCTCGTGAGAAGCCACAGCCCGATACGGAACTTGTTTTCCATTGTAGAAGCGGAGTACGCAGCCTGAAGGCTGCGGAAGCCGCCGTCGCGTTGGGCTTCAAAAATGTCAAAAACTACGAAGGTTCGTGGCTTGACTGGGCTGAGCATGAAGGCTTGCCCAAGTAAATACTCAAAACTAGGTCATTTGTTTAACTATTTTTATTGAATTAAATTCAATTCAAACATACTTAAAGGAATACTCATAAATAATTCTTTGGTTGTGAGATCGAACATCTTAACTTGTTACAATTAATACTATTTAATGCTTTTGCTTTAGTCGACCTCCTCGACAGTGGGTCCAGTGTAGCCGCCATTGCCGAAGCCTCCTGCCTGCTGGCCACAGTGCGAGGCTTGAGGACCAGCGCCAGCTCCTCCGTCGCCCTGCTGATGCATTTTGGTCATCACTGGGCTACAGAATTTCGTGAGCTCCTGCAGCTTGTATTCGAACTCCTCCTTCTCCGCTGTAGTATTGGCATCGAGCCATTTGATGGCTTCACTGCACTTGTCCAGGACCCTGCTGCGGTCCGACTGAGGGATCTTGTCACCAGCATTCTCAGCAGCCTCTTTCACGCCAAAGATGTAGCTCTCCAGCTGGTTGCGGGCGGCGATTCTCTGACGATGCTTCTCGTCCTCCTCAGCGTACTGCTCAGCCTCGTTAACCATGCGATCAATCTCGGCCTGCGAAAGACGACCCTTGTCGTTCTTGATGGTAATGTTCTTGGCATTGCCGGTTCCCATCTCCTTGGCATTCACATTGAGAATGCCATTGGCATCCAGGTCAAAAGTGACTTCTACCTTTGGGACACCGCGCGGCGCTGGCGGTATGCCGGTCAAGTTGAAAGTGCCCAGCACATTGTTGTCCTTCGTCATGGCGCGCTCGCCCTCAAACACCTGGACAGTCACAGCGGGCTGGTTGTCCGCGTATGTGGTAAAGGTCTTTGACTGCTTGCAGGGAATGCGACTGTTCCGCTCAATCAGTTTGGTCATCACTCCGCCAGCTGTTTCTATGCCCAATGAGAGAGGTGCCACGTCGACCAGCAGCACGTCCTTGATTTGGCTGCTTTCGTCTCCACTGAGTATGGCAGCTTGTATGGCGGCGCCATAGGCCACGGCCTCGTCTGGATTGATAGACAGGTTGAGGCTCTTGCCGGAGAAGAAGTTCTGTAGCAGGCTCTGCACTTTTGGAATGCGTGTGGAGCCGCCTACGAGGACAATGTCGTTAATCTGGCTTTTATCCATTTTGGCGTCGTTCAGAGCCTTCTCCACCGGCTGTAGTGTGCTCCGGAACAAGTCGCCGCACAGCTCCTCGAAGCGCGCCCGACTAATCTTTGTGTAGAAGTCGTGACCCTCGAACAGGGCATCGATCTCAATCGAGGCTTCGCTGCTTGAGGACAAGGTACGCTTTGCTCTCTCGGCTGCAGTCCGCAGGCGACGCAACGCTCGTGGATTGGAGCGTAGATCCTTCTTAAACTTGCGCTTGAACTCGTCAGCGAAGTGGTTGACTAGCCTGTTGTCGAAGTCCTCGCCTCCAAGATGTGTATCTCCAGCAGTCGACCGCACCTCGAACAAAGAGCCCTCGTCGATGGTCAGAATCGAGACATCGAAGGTGCCGCCGCCCAAGTCGAATATTAGAACATTGCGTTCACCCTTGAGATTCTTATCCAGGCCATAGGCCAATGCCGCTGCCGTGGGCTCGTTGATGATGCGCAGCACGTTCAACCCGGCGATGGCACCGGCGTCCTTGGTGGCCTGACGCTGCGAATCGTTGAAGTAGGCAGGCACCGTGATGACGGCGTCTCTGATGGTGGTGCCCAAGTATGCTTCGGCTGTCTCCTTCATTTTTACAAGCACCATCGAACTTATCTCCTCTGGGGCAAAGCGCTTCTCCTCGCCCTTGAACTCGACGCTCATCTTTGGCTTTCCGCAGTCGTTGATCACTTTGAATGGCCAGTGCTTCATGTCATCTTGAATCTTCGGATCATCGAACTTGCGTCCAATCAAACGTTTCGCGTCGAATACACTGTTCTTCGGATTCATGGCCACCTGGTTCTTGGCCGCGTCTCCAATCAACCGTTCCGAGTCGGTAAATGCCACATAGCTGGGCGTGGTGCGATTTCCCTGGTCGTTGGCTATTATCTCCACCTTGCCGTGCTGGAAGACACCCACGCACGAGTACGTGGTGCCCAAGTCAATACCAATGGCCGGCATCTTGGCTGTTTCTTTCTCTTCTCGGTTTACCAACTTGTCTTATTTGGATTTTGTACTTATACTTGTACTTTTATTCGACCGTTTAACTTTTACTTTTACTTTTTATTAAATTTTTGTTAACTGTTCTGAATGTAATTTCAATATGATACTCTTTTGAGTATGGGTTAGCTTGTTTAGCTTCTCTTTGGTTCGCTTGCTGTGTTTCCACTACGATTGCTTGTTATGAATTGTGACGAGCTGAAAATTTGCTCTGCTATTTATACTCTGACGCTGTGTGGTGGAATATTCGAGATTCCCCTCAAAGAAGAGTGCCGACTCCAGACGATTCGGGAGTGTGCGAGCGAGGCAGACAGTATTTTTTATACGCGTATAGGTATGTATGTGGTGTGTTTGTTGTATGAAGGGGAACGACTGCTTTTAACACTCACGACTTCCAATATATAATGCGCGCCAACTGCCTTCTGCCAATTATTTGCTTGAGTTTCGACTGGCAGTGCATATGAAATCAAAAGCATTCGACTCTTTTGAGGATAAATTCAATTATATTATTTATTTATTGCAATAAGCCTTAATGCGTTTCTAAAATTTGCTCTGTCCTGCTCCCCTTGAGAAACTGGAGTGTTCCTTCTTCCAGTTGCGCAGCCGTACTACGTCAAGCAAAATGCGCAATTATTCTTTCCCATGCCAACTGTGGTTGGCAAATATTTTGGCAGCATTTTAGTTTCTGTGTTGCGTAGTGAAAATAAAAAAGTGAAAATAAGTTTTCATTCGTGATTTTCCGACGGAGAGCTGCAGCGCGACATTAACCTCTCAAATTGTATAACTTTAAGTTTTTAAATGACCGATCCCTAAATGCTGCCGTACAGTTTTCCCTGGTGGGGAGTTGCCAAATTTTTTTTTTCGTATTTCGGATAAGTTAAAGAAGAATGGAGATATTTGGTTCAATTTGCTGAAAAAGTTCACTCGTTCATTTTCTGGTCATTAACTAAATCGATCATTTAGTTCACTCGTTCATTTATTCAGTCGGTCATGAACGAATCATTCTGCGCAGCTATTCAGTCATGATCATGAACTTTTCATTTAGTTCAGTTTTTCAGTCGATCGTGAATGATTCGTTTTGCAGTTGCACGCGAACAATATTTTTTTGTTCAGTTATTTTTCTTGTTTTCAGCTTTAAAATAACATGATTTTAACGTTTTAACGATACATGGAATAGAATGTATCGTATGAACAAGTGTGATATGTGATATGTGTGAATATGTATAGTTTATTTCTAGCTAGAAAAAGGCTTACTTGGCTGCGCTGAACATACAGGCGAGTATCTCTCTGGCAGTCTCTCGAATCGTCTCGAACCTTCTGCACTCTTCTTTTGAGGGGAATCTCGAATATTCCACCACACAGCGTCAGAGTATAAATAGCAGAGCAAATTTTCAGCTCGTCACAATTCATAACAAGCAATCGTAGTGGAAACACAGCAAGCGAACCAAAGAGAAGCTAAACAAGCTAACCCATACTCAAAAGAGTATCATATTGAAATTTTACATTCAGAACAGTTAACAAAAATTTAATAAAAAGTAAAAGTAAAAGTTAAACGGTCGAATAAAAGTACAAGTATAAGTACAAAATCCAAATAAGACAAGTTGGTAAACCGAGAAGAGAAAGAAACAGCCAAGATGCCGGCCATTGGTATTGACTTGGGCACCACGTACTCGTGCGTGGGTGTCTTCCAGCACGGCAAGGTGGAGATAATAGCCAACGACCAGGGAAATCGCACCACGCCCAGCTATGTGGCATTTACCGACTCGGAACGGTTGATTGGAGACGCGGCCAAGAACCAGGTGGCCATGAATCCGAAGAACAGTGTATTCGACGCGAAACGTTTGATTGGACGCAAGTTCGATGATCCGAAGATTCAAGATGACATGAAGCACTGGCCATTCAAAGTGATCAACGACTGCGGAAAGCCAAAGATGAGCGTCGAGTTCAAGGGCGAGGAGAAGCGCTTTGCCCCAGAGGAGATAAGTTCGATGGTGCTTGTAAAAATGAAGGAGACAGCCGAAGCATACTTGGGCACCACCATCAGAGACGCCGTCATCACGGTGCCTGCCTACTTCAACGATTCGCAGCGTCAGGCCACCAAGGACGCCGGTGCCATCGCCGGGTTGAACGTGCTGCGCATCATCAACGAGCCCACGGCAGCGGCATTGGCCTATGGCCTGGATAAGAATCTCAAGGGTGAACGCAATGTTCTAATATTCGACTTGGGCGGCGGCACCTTCGATGTCTCGATTCTGACCATCGACGAGGGCTCTTTGTTCGAGGTGCGGTCGACTGCTGGAGATACACATCTTGGAGGCGAGGACTTCGACAACAGGCTAGTCAACCACTTCGCTGACGAGTTCAAGCGCAAGTTTAAGAAGGATCTACGCTCCAATCCACGAGCGTTGCGTCGCCTGCGGACTGCAGCCGAGAGAGCAAAGCGTACCTTGTCCTCAAGCAGCGAAGCCTCGATTGAGATCGATGCCCTGTTCGAGGGTCACGACTTCTACACAAAGATTAGTCGGGCGCGCTTCGAGGAGCTGTGCGGCGACTTGTTCCGGAGCACACTACAGCCGGTGGAGAAGGCTCTGAACGACGCCAAAATGGATAAAAGCCAGATTAACGACATTGTCCTCGTAGGCGGCTCCACACGCATTCCAAAAGTGCAGAGCCTGCTACAGAACTTCTTCTCCGGCAAGAGCCTCAACCTGTCTATCAATCCAGACGAGGCCGTGGCCTATGGCGCCGCCATACAAGCTGCCATACTCAGTGGAGACGAAAGCAGCCAAATCAAGGACGTGCTGCTGGTCGACGTGGCACCTCTCTCATTGGGCATAGAAACAGCTGGCGGAGTGATGACCAAACTGATTGAGCGGAACAGTCGCATTCCCTGCAAGCAGTCAAAGACCTTTACCACATACGCGGACAACCAGCCCGCTGTGACTGTCCAGGTGTTTGAGGGCGAGCGCGCCATGACGAAGGACAACAATGTGCTGGGCACTTTCAACTTGACCGGCATACCGCCAGCGCCGCGCGGTGTCCCAAAGGTAGAAGTCACTTTTGACCTGGATGCCAATGGCATTCTCAATGTGAATGCCAAGGAGATGGGAACCGGCAATGCCAAGAACATTACCATCAAGAACGACAAGGGTCGTCTTTCGCAGGCCGAGATTGATCGCATGGTTAACGAGGCTGAGCAGTACGCTGAGGAGGACGAGAAGCATCGTCAGAGAATCGCCGCCCGCAACCAGCTGGAGAGCTACATCTTTGGCGTGAAAGAGGCTGCTGAGAATGCTGGTGACAAGATCCCTCAGTCGGACCGCAGCAGGGTCCTGGACAAGTGCAGTGAAGCCATCAAATGGCTCGATGCCAATACTACAGCGGAGAAGGAGGAGTTCGAATACAAGCTGCAGGAGCTCACGAAATTCTGTAGCCCAGTGATGACCAAAATGCATCAGCAGGGCGCCGGAGGAGCTGGCGATGGTCCTCAAGCCTCGCACTGTGGCCAGCAGGCAGGAGGCTTCGGCAATGGCGGCTACACTGGACCCACTGTCGAGGAGGTCGACTAAAATAGAGGCAGTTATAAAAGTGATTTAAGCTTAATCAGTATTATAGTTTAATTAAATCTCAACCAAAAGTCGTTGTTTATAAAAATATAATTTATGAATGTTACTCACTTATATATAATAGAACTAAGACATATTAAATAAAATCAAGTTTGTTAAATGTCAAATGTTTACATTATTTTATTGTTAAGGATGCTGTAATATGTTCATATTTTATCCTATTTTAATTTGTGTATCCTGTTGCAGCAAATCTGTGCAGCTGCCATCGTAAAAGCAGACATTTCTGTAGCCCAAGGCGACAGCGTGAACGGCAGATAATCTTGCAAGCTCTCCTGTGGCACATGAAAACATAAGTTCGATGTTTTCATGTGGTTTTTCGCGACCAAATTGGAATTTAAATTGAGCTTCGCTTGTAGCTGGACCCAGTGCTTTGGCCAATTGGTCAGCTGGAATGTTAAGGCTGCCTGGGAATTTGAAAGTTTTTTCTATATCGATGGCAGATCTGACATCGATGTGAAACTTGCCCACGATACTCTTCTTGTAAATAATTGGCGCTTTGTTGCAGTAGGCGCAGTATGCCAAATAAACGCCTTTTATACCCTGATTTAAAGGAATTTTTTGTTTAGCACGGCAAAAAATGGATGACAACATTTTTGTCTAGACTCGATTCAATTTGAATGGCAGTCGTGACCTTATAAAATTTGAACAGAATATGAGAGTGGCCAGAACATTAAAAAATGTGTAATATATATATCGAAAATAAATCGGGTTTGTAGTGCTGTAAAATACTTGACAATTGTGAATTTGTATTATTGCTAGTTTTGGTATTATACGTGCGTCAAATTAGCGGCGGTGACTTAGCGTCGAATTTTGGTACTTGTTATCGGAAAACTATCGGTCACTTTCAAATGCATTTATTTATGTTTTTAAGCACGAAACCAAATAAATTTAAATGCAGAATTGCAAAAAATTAAATTATTTACTATCTACATTCATTTATTTTTGAATTTTAATTTATAATATGGGTAAACAAAGGGGTTGAAAAGTTAGGTTTTCGCCATTCTTTAAATATCTTAATTCAGGGATAATGGCCCCGAAAACCGCATACACACGATTGAAGTCTATAGTTTCACCTATCCAATCGTGAAAAAATTATAAAAACCGATCAGCACGTTTTTAAGATATTTGTACTACAGTGCAGCAACCTCGTTGCTAGCCCCATACAAAATGACCGTAAAAAATCACCCTTGCACTTGAACCCTAATAACTTTTCTCAGGGATAATGGCCCTCAATGCACGGTATACCAACTTGAAGATACATGTTTAAGGAAGCTTTACGCATTAATTCTAAGCAAATCGAGCAGCCAGTTTTTTAGAAAAATGGCAAAATGTAAGCACACCTCATGTTGTTCATTCAAAATGCCTATCGAGCTACTAGCTCCAACGGGAACCGAACCACTGCTCGGAATCAGTGTTGAACAATGTTATAAAGTATTGGGCGGGAACAAATTAATTCAAAATACTTGTATATGAAAGAGAAATGCAGTAATATATAAAATAATTGTCATTTTACAATAAAACATTATCTTTGGTAAAATAGACTGCTGCAAAAGACGACACCTATGCATTTAAGTATTTATGCACGTATCATAACGAAAAGGTGGCAATATTTCAACCTATATTATTCTATTTCTCCGATAATGGCCCCAAATGCACGGTAGTTTAACATATAGATCGCGAATTATCAATCATTTTGCTTTTTACATCAAGAAAATCGTCCAGCCAGTTTTAGAGAAATTCGCATTTTTCTATTTTTCTTATTATACCCTCTGTTATGCAAAAAAAACTAGCTGGCAACATTACAAACTTAACATATTTATGTTAGGGGCTGCCAACTTATGAAGAATGCAAACATAGAGATGTAGAATGTTTCAATATATATAAAGTATATTAATTTAATATAAATATCATGATTACATAATATTCATCGTCATGTATACTTTTACTTATTTTCACAAGCTGGCATCTTTATATATTCCATATCATTATGTTTGCATTCTTCATAAGTTGGCAGCCCCTAACATAAATATGTTAAGTTTGTAATGTTGCCAGCTAGTTTTTTTTGCATAACAGAGGGTATAATAAGAAAAATAGAAAAATGCGAATTTCTCTAAAACTGGCTGGACGATTTTCTTGATGTAAAAAGCAAAATGATTGATAATTCGCGATCTATATGTTAAACTACCGTGCATTTGGGGCCATTATCGGAGAAATAGAATAATATAGGTTGAAATATTGCCACCTTTTCGTTATGATACGTGCATAAATACTTAAATGCATAGGTGTCGTCTTTTGCAGCAGTCTATTTTACCAAAGATAATGTTTTATTGTAAAATGACAATTATTTTATATATTACTGCATTTCTCTTTCATATACAAGTATTTTGAATTAATTTGTTCCCGCCCAATACTTTATAACATTGTTCAACACTGATTCCGAGCAGTGGTTCGGTTCCCGTTGGAGCTAGTAGCTCGATAGGCATTTTGAATGAACAACATGAGGTGTGCTTACATTTTGCCATTTTTCTAAAAAACTGGCTGATCGATTTGCTTAGAATTAATGCGTAAAGCTTCCTTAAACATGTATCTTCAAGTTGGTATACCGTGCATTGAGGGCCATTATCCCTGAGAAAAGTTATTAGGGTTCAAGTGCAAGGGTGATTTTTTACGGTCATTTTGTATGGGGCTAGCAACGAGGTTGCTGCACTGTAGTACAAATATCTTAAAAACGTGCTGATCGGTTTTTATAATTTTTTCACGATTGGATAGGTGAAACTATAGACTTCAATCGTGTGTATGCGGTTTTCGGGGCCATTATCCCTGAATTAAGATATTTAAAGAATGGCGAAAACCTAACTTTTCAACCCCTTCGTTTACCCATATTATAAATTAAAATTCAAAAATAAATGAATGTAGATAGTAAATAATTTAATTTTTTGCAATTCTGCATTTAAATTTATTTGGTTTCGTGCTTAAAAACATAAATAAATGCATTTGAAAGTGACCGATAGTTTTCCGATAACAAGTACCAAAATTCGACGCTAAGTCACCGCCGCTAATTTGACGCACGTTGGTATTATATGCGCATGCTTTGTTCATTTGAATATATATTGTATATCTGGTATATAAACATTTAGTTGATATTTAATCATTTTGGATTTAAAAGCTTAATATTAATTATAATAATACTTGTTAATATGGGAAACAAAATGTTAATAGGCGGAGCATCACTCTTGTTCAGGCCCATAGTTATCGATAAGTTGAGTTGTCGTTCGATTGTTGTTTTAACTAGTTGGTATTTTTACAACACTGAAAACAAGTCGCAGTGAATGGCAATCTGAAAAAGAAGCTTCTTGGCGCAAGAGCATATCGGGAAAATTAATAAATATTGTTTTTATTGCGGTACTTACATCTGTAAGCTCGAACTATGGCTGAAGATGATGAAGAAATCGTGCCCAAAGCGCCGACAACAGCTGCACGCAAGCCAGAAGAAGACACTGCGTTCCTTCAATTCATTGAAATGGAAAATTTCAAGTCCTACCGTGGCCACATTGTTGTGGGTCCTTTAAAGCAATTTAATGCAGTTATAGGACCCAATGGTTCCGGTAAATCAAACTTTATGGACGCCATTAGCTTTGTAATGGGTGAAAAAACCTCGAGCCTGCGTGTAAAGCGCCTTAATGATCTAATACACGGCTCCTCCATTGGTAAGCCAGTGGCGCGCAGCTGCTATGTGACGGCTAAATTTATTTTGGACGGCGAGAAGCACATGGATTTTCAGCGTGCCGTAATAAGCGGCTCCTCGGAGTATCGAATCAATGGCGAAGTATGCGGTGCACACATTTTTTCTATACAAAAAGTTGATTTTGCATGATTATTTCTAGAGCGTCTCGAGCAACACATACCTAAACAAGCTGGAGAAACTGGGCATCAATGTGAAGGCCAAGAACTTTTTGGTGTTCCAGGGAGCAGTGGAGAACATTGCCATGAAGACGCCTAAGGAACGCACCGCGCTGTTTGAAGAGATAAGCGGGTAAGGCGCAAATCAAAAAAATAATATATTTCATTAATTGTCTGTTTTTGATTGCCAGATCGGGTCTGCTGAAGGATGACTACAATCGGCTAAAGCAGGAGATGATTGTCGCTGAAGAGGAAACACAGTTTACGTACCAGAAGAAAAAGGGAATTGCTGCCGAGCGAAAGGAAGCAAAGCATGAAAAAATGGAGGCCGAACGCTACACACGCTTACAGGACGAATATGTATGCTCTATATTCAGATGTTTGAGAATTTGATTGTCAAGAATCCGTGCTATGCTTTCATTTTAGAACGAAAAACAAGTGGAGTATCAACTGTTTCGTCTATTCCACGTTGAGAAGGATATACAGAAGTACACTGCAGACTTGGAGGTAAAGCAGCAGGAGCTGAAAGCTGTTGAGCAACGCAAAGAGGCCGCCGACGAGATTCTGCGCGAAAAGAAAAAAGATGCTGGCAAAATAACGCGTGACTTGGCCAAAATAGATCAGGAGATACGTGAATTCGAGACACAGCTAAACAAACGACGTCCCTTATACATAAAAGCCAAGGAAAAGGTGACGCATTGCAAGAAGAAGCTGGTGTCCCTGCAAAAGACACTGGAAACAGCGCGCGAGGCGGACAATGCCCATCAGCAGGACATACAAAAACTGGAAAAGCAACTCAGTGATGTGGAGGCATTGAAAAAGCGTTTCGAAGACGAAATCGAAAACGAGTCGCAACGTCGTGGCAAAAGCGTCAACATGGAGGAAGGACTCGTACAGGAATACGATCGGCTGAAACAGGAGGCCGAAGCAACTGCCACACAGTATCGCTCCGAGTTGGACTCGGTCAACCGGGAGCAAAAATCTGAACAGGATACGCTTGACGGGGAAACTAATCGCAGGGCGTCTGTTGAGGAGTCGTACAAAAAGCTCTCGCTGCAGCGTGAAGAGGCTGTAAAGCGCCGCGATAAACTCATGGACCATATTAAATCCTCTCAAGCCGCGCTCGAAGAGCAGAATCGCATAAAGGACGAGCTACGACGCGATGTGGGCAGCTCAAAGGAGAAAATTGCCGAAAAACAACGTGAGCTGGAGAACGTTCGCGATCAGTTGGGCGATGCCAAGAGTGACAAGCACGAGGATGCCCGTCGCAAGAAAAAACAGGAAGTAGTCGAACTATTCAAGAAACAAGTGCCCGGCGTTTACGATCGCATGATCAACATGTGCCAGCCCACGCACAAGCGCTACAACGTGGCTGTCACCAAGGTGCTGGGCAAGTTTATGGAAGCTATCATCGTGGACACTGAGAAAACTGCGCGACATTGCATTCAGGTGGGCTTTTAGCTGGAATCTCTGTTTTTTTTATGCTTAACTCTTTCTGTCTCTTGCAGATCTTGAAAGAGCAAATGTTAGAGGTGGAGACCTTTTTGCCGCTAGACTACTTGCAGGTTAAGCCACTAAAAGAACGCCTGCGCAACATCAGCGAGCCGCGCAATGTGCGCCTGGTGTTCGATGTGCTCAAATTCGAGCCACAAGAGATCGAGCGTGCTGTGCTTTTTGCCACCGGCAATGCGCTGGTTTGCGAAACGCCGGAGGATGCCATGAAGGTGGCCTACGAAATAGATCGATCGCGATTCGATGCCCTTGCGCTGGATGGCACATTCTATCAAAAGTCCGGCCTCATCTCTGGCGGCAGTCATGATTTGGCGCGCAAGGCAAAACGCTGGGATGAAAAGCACATGGCCCAACTTAAGATGCAAAAGGAACGCCTCAACGAAGAGCTGAAGGAGCTGGTCAAAAAGTCGCGCAAGCAAAGTGAGCTGGCAACAGTTGAGTCACAGATTAAGGGCCTCGAGAATCGTCTGAAATACAGCATGGTGGACTTGGAGTCATCGAAAAAGTCCATTAGCCAATACGATAACCAGCTAAATCAAGTGCAAACCCAGTTGGATGACTTCGGGGTAGGTGCTATAAAAATCTAACCAAATCAAATCCAAGTTTTGTAACCTGTCGTTTTATGCTATTCGTAGCCCAAGATCAATGAAATTGAGCGTCGCATGCAAGATAGAGAGGAGCACATACAAGAGATCAAAGAGAACATGAATAATGTGGAGGACAAGGTGTTTGCCGCCTTCTGTCGTCGACTAGGTGTGAAGAACATTCGACAGTACGAGGAGCGTGAGCTTGTCATGCAACAGGAAAGGGCACGCAAACGTGCCGAGTTCGAGCAGCAAATCGATGCAATTAACACTCAGCTGGACTTTGAGAAGCAAAAGGACACGCGAAGTTGGTTAACTCAAGTCAAAAGTGTCTTACATTAAATTTTAAATAAATTATTACGTTTTATAGAGAACGTCGAGCGATGGGAGCGCAGCGTACAGGATGAGGAAGATGCGTTGGAAGGCCTTAAAGCCGCTGAGGCGCGTTATTTGAAAGAAATGGATGAGGAGAAGGAGAAAATGGAGAAGTTTAAGCAGGAAAAGCAAGCCAAGAAACAGGCAGTCGATGACATGGAAGAGGACATATCTAAAGCACGACGAGATGTTGCCAACTTGGCCAAAGAAATTCACAATGTGGGCAGCCAAATGTCTTCAACGGAGTCCAAAATCGAGGCCAAGAAAAACGAAAGACAAAACATATTGCTACAGGCTAAAGTATGTACGCAAAAGGAAATTCTAATGTATATTAACAATATTTCTTACTCCAAAGACGGATTGCATTGTGGTGCCCTTACTGCGCGGCTCGCTGGACGATGCAGTGCGGCAAAGTGATGTGGACAGTGTGGAACCATCAACGTCAACGGTGCACGATAATCTGTGAGTATGCCAATTCGTGCAGATCTAAAGTGTTGACCAACTAATGACATTTGACATCCACTCTAGCATCGAGGTCGACTATCGATCATTGCCACGCGAGCTGTGCAAACTGAAGGACGACTCCGCCTTCAAGAAAATGAATGAACAGCTGCTGAAGGATTTGCAAAGCAAACTGGATGTATTGGAACGAATACAGACGCCGAATATGAAAGCGATGCAAAAACTAGATCTGGTTACGGAGAAGGTGCAGTCCACAAACGAAGAGTTTGAGAATGCCAGGCGAAAGGCCAAAAAGGCAAAGGCGGCATTCGAAAAGGTGAAGAACGAGCGTTCATCACGATTCGTGCAATGCTGCCAGCATATATCCGATGCCATCGACGGCATCTACAAGAAACTGGCCCGCAATGAGGCCGCCCAGGCGTACATTGGACCCGACAATCCCGAGGAGCCCTATCTAGATGGCATCAATTACAATTGTGTGGCACCCGGCAAACGATTCCAGCCCATGAGCAATTTGAGTGGCGGTGAAAAGACTATCGCTGCTCTGGCACTGCTCTTCTCCACGCACAGGTGAGTCGGAGTCCATAAAAGTTGTAAGGAAAATATCTGATCTTCATTATTTACTTTCGTAGCTATCATCCCGCGCCATTCTTTGTGCTTGACGAGATAGACGCCGCTTTGGATAACACAAACATCGGCAAAGTCGCCTCGTATATTCGGGATCACACGACCAATTTGCAGACAATTGTCATATCCCTTAAGGAGGAGTTCTATGGTCACGCCGATGCGCTGGTCGGCATCACGCCAGCGGTATGCAATACATTTACTTGATCCTCCAAAAAAGTATAAATACAAACATTTTTATTTTGCAGGAGGGCGATTGTCTCATATCCAATGTCTACATAATTGATTTGACCAGCTACGAGGACAAATGAAGAGTCGACTTTTAACCGAGCTTAGATTAAGTTTTTTATTTATAATCGAACCAGCAGCAGACAGAAGAACTACAATTTCCATTCAATAAACCAATTTTTATGCCCTGAAGATTTAGGAAAGTGATCAAAGTTTTGAGCTCAAATTCATATCCGATCTATCTATATAATATAAACTATTTGCCATTTGGAAAGACATTTTCATAAATATTTAGGGACAAGTTTTTTTTAATGATACCAACCTTTGTTAAAGTAAAGCCCAATTTTTTTTTTTAAAGAGAATATTCATGATGTGCTCACATTTGATCTAGAAAATGCATTTTATTTTGAAAATAATTTTCTGCAACTTTAATAGTTTCCTTTATTGGACTTCTGTCGGTTGGTTGTACTGTTTGATTGTGAAGAAAATCGTGTGTATGCACGGTGAAAATGGGCGTGTCTCTCTGTGTGTGTGTGTGTGTGTGTGTGCGATCGGGTGTATGTGCCATACATACTGGGTAGGTATAATACATATATATACATATGTAAAAACAAGTAGGTATATATATATTTTTTTTGTTTTAATATTTACTTTTTCGTTTTTTTTCTTCTCACTTTTCTTCAATGTAAAAAACTTGTATTTTTTTTTTTTTTTGTTGAACAAAAACAAACAATTTGATTATTCGGTTTTCATAAATTTAAAATAATCATTTCAAACAGATAAATATCGTAAGCCCTAGCTGGTGCTGTCTATATTTTTGTCTTCTTCTTCTCCTTTGTCTGGGCGAGCTGTAACTATTCGAAGTAGCACAATTGTTGCGGAAGGAGGGGGGAGGGGGGAGTTTACAGTTAAATCTATATTACACAGCATAGAAAAAATGTTAGAAAACTATTTTGCCAATATATATGATTGCTTTAGACGTTTGGTTAAATGTTCAGCTTATTATTTGAATTTGAATTTCGAATTCGATTTCGATTAAATTGGGAATGGCTAATATCAACTTTATACATACAAACTAAAATATTTATGGCGTTTCATATATACAACTCGGGCTTTTGTAAACTTGTTGAAAATACAAAGATTTGTATTATTGGCGCTTAAATATTAACTGACTGTCTTGCTATATTGTTTCGGGTTTGGGGTTTTGCGTGGAAAATGGGATTAGTCTTTACGGTACTTCATATCGTATCTCCATTATCGAACATCATCATTATCATTGCTAGAATTATCATCAGGGGGCTGTTTTGTGCTCGTTGCTGTTGTTGTTGTTGTTGTTGTTGTTGTTGTTGCTTGTGTTGCGGTTATTGCTGTTGTTGTTGCGGTTATTGTTGCTGTTGTTGCTGTGTGTTGTTGTTGTTGTTGTTGTTGCTCCATTTGCTAGCGACTAAATCATCTGTTTGTTTTCTTATTGTTTTTGTTTTGTGTTTGTAATTATTCACTGAATTTCAGCTTTTCAATGCGCCTTTATTACTGCAAAATAGAAAAAGAAAATTGCATTAACGTTTAGCTATACAAATGAAGTTGCCCAAAAATGTGACCAATTGCTGCCCACATCATCAGATCATCATCAGATCATCATCATTATCATCATAATTATCGTCAACATTGCCAGGCTCTGATATTTTGCGTATTTCTATTTGTCAACTGTTTATTTAGAATACGATATCGACTGTGGGGCATGCATAGACATAGAATGTTATTCGATTGCGGCTTACGATATACGATATTCGTAATGTATGGGCCAACTGGCTGCATATACTATAATACGTACATTGAAACGTATTTAAGGCTATCACAGTGTATCTTATACTCCATTGCAGTTGTTAGAGGTATATTTAATATCCTGCGTAACGTATCACGGATACGTGTTGTACTGGTCATATCAGTGGCAGTCCGATTCCATACTGATAAGCTATCCTCCTGCGTAAATGCAAATGTAAATGTAAACATAAATGTTAAAGTTAATGTTAAATGTTAATGTATATGTTATATGTTAAATTATGCCTGAAAGCAATATTTGTGCGCGCCTTGGAAGAAAGATAAGGAAAAACTTGTGTTTTTTGTTTTTGTTAAATAATTTTTATTTTTTAATCAATGTAAGTAAATCAATTTGATGTCTGACCAATTGTGAAAATGATGACACGAAATAACACAACAAAATTGTTTCAAAAACAAAAAGGATGCGAAACAATTATCATAATTGAAAAATTGTTCATTTGCTGATTTTTGTTTCGTTTTTTTTTTTTATTTTTATTTTTATTTTTTTTTTTTTCGGTTCGGTTATCGCACTTGAAATTTGTTGACTCGCTTCTCGTTTTTCTCTCCTTTTAATTTTATTTTCATTTTTTTTGTTTTTGTTTTTTTTTTTAATATAATTATGTATGTATATAAGACTAACACTTAATTGTAATGTTTATTTGTTACTTTCAATAATTAACTAAATTTTCTAAAGAGGAAAAAATATAGATGCAAGTATGTTTTTATAATATGAAGTTTTACACGGCTCAACTGACTTTTTCTTTTATCATTTATATATATATATATATGTTTTGTTGTTGTTGTTGGTGTATTATGTTTTATTTAGTTTTTAAACATTTTTAACAATTATCGAGTATTTGAACCGTTTTTTTTTTTGGTTTTTTTGGTTTTTCATTCTTTATTAATTTATACTTTTGTTATATAATATTTAATAATAAGTAAGTACAGTTTTGAAGTTTTGATTTAATGTTATAAGTATGTGTGTGTGTGTGTGTGTGTGTGTGAGTGTGTGTTCATTTAAGTTGTTTAATTTGTTGTTGTTGTTTTTTTCTCGTTTACTGTGGATGATTTTCTTTCGCTTTTTATTTGAGTTCTCGGTTTTATGTTAAACGTTTTATGTTGTGTTTTATGTTAAATGTTTTATGTTAAATTGTTTTATGTATGTCTCTATATTTATTATATATATATATATATATCTGGAGGCGTGTGTAGGCTTTAATTTTGCGAATTGTTTTGAACGCTTTCCAATTGCACATTGATATTTTAATATTTTGTAAATATTAAATACATTTTGAGCGGCAATTTCGGCAATGCTCGACTCGCTAATTCATTTATTTGGACTAATATATATATATATATATATATAGGATGTATATATATTTGTTTTTGTTTTGTATATATATATATATATGTATATATGTATATGTTAGTTTAATTAAAATATATATAAATACTTATTTATGCTCATGTTAATTGTTTTCTTTTATCTTTACTGTGTTCCACTTGTTAATCATGTTTCTCAGTATTATTGCTTTTTGAATATACATACTTATGCATACATGACTCCCCCCCTCTCGCTCTCTCTCTTTCACATTTCTCATTCGTTATTTTATTTTTGTAATTATACTGTGTGTGTGTGTGTGTGTGTGTGTGAGTGTCCGTTCTCAGTTGGCACAGTTGCCTGCCATCTGCCGCGTGAGAAACTGTTCCTAGTTGTTAGCTGCTAACTGTTCTTGCTCTTTTATTGCCGTACATTTGTTGCATTTATTTTCTTTTTATTTGGTTTTATATATTTTTAATTTTATAAATTTCTTCTTTTTTTTTTTGCCGTTTTTTTTTTTACTGATTGCTGTCTGAGTTATTGAAATGCTTCGATATGCCTGGAATTATTGTTGGAGTAACTGTTCCCAATGCGCATTCACATTGTTATACATTGGGCGAACACATCGTCATCATTATCATCCACTCATCATTATTATCATCATCATTATCATGTTGCATACGTGCGCAGCCTATAAGAATTGTGTAATGTGTGCTGTGCTGTGCTGCAAAAGCCCGGTCGCAGGCCGAGAGGCTGGCAAGAAGAAGCAGAACAAGTTGATTCTAATTGGGAATCTCGGCCTGAGAACAGTTTTTGAATCTATTATTGAAATGGGCACACTTCTCTCTAGAGAATTAACGCTTGAATTTTATTCAATTTTAAAGTACACAATTTTTACGAGTCTGAAACAAATTTCGCTTTTTTGTTGTTTTTTTTTTTTTTTTGTTTTTGGGCTTTCATGAAACTCACATTCTATGCATTTCAATATGTCATATAATTGTATTCTGTGTTTTTTTTTTTAAGTCAATATTTTTTCGATTTTTTGTATATTTTGTTTAAGTTTTATTTTAAATATTTATGCATATAAATATTGAAATTATGTAACTATTTAATTATATTAAAATACTAATTTTTATTAATTGAACTTCTGCGCTTAAATTGTTTTTGTTTTTGTTTTTTTTTTTTTTTAAATTTTTTTGTATTTGTTTTTAATGTTAAATATATTTTCGATTTTTGTTGTTGTTGTGTAATTTGTACAAATTATATGCTGGGCTTGATTGAAAAAATAAAACATGTACAAAAATTGTTAACCAAAATGAATTGTATTTGTTTTTTTTTTGAAACTTATGCTAAGTTAAAATTAACAAAATAAATAACAAAAAATCTAATGTTTATATTGAGTTTTTCTTGTTTTTTTTTGTATAAGGCAAAGCAAAAACAAATTCATAAAACTTTTTTTTTTTTATCTTGAAAGTAATTGTTAATTGAAATTGTTGCTGTGTTTTTTGTTGACGGGGTTTGGCTTGTGTGAAAAGTGGAAGAAATGCGATTTACGTAGAAAACTAAAAAATATATTATATATATATATATATGTAAGCCATTAATAGTTATAAGTACAAGTATTAGATATTTGTTTCTCTAGAAATAATAGAACATCCTAATAATTCGTTATAATGTACAAAATTTTGCAGTTGGTTGGCGAAGAAAACGTGCATTGAGTAAATCGATTTTGAACAACAAGGCTGTATATATATATATATATATATGTATATATATAGTATACTCGACTGATCTGGATCGGACTGTGAGGCCGATCTTATATAGAGTAGAAAATTACACACACACAGAAACGAAATGAAGGACAATTGCATTAATTTGTTGTCATCGAGAAATTTGACGCTAAATTTTGTTAAACATATTACGATTTGTTATTTAATTGTTTGTTATAATATTTCTTTGTCAATTTCAATTGTTTGTTTAACTAATTGTTTATTTTCGCACAACATTTACATTTTTCTTTTGTTGTTTTTTTTTTGTTTTTTTTTTATGGCAAGCGAAATTTGAAAAATTTACAATTCGCTTTTCGACAATTTCATATAGATTTCAGATTTTATTTTTTATTTTTTGTGTATACAGCAAAGATTTCTGTTTTTTTCTATTTTATTTAATTAAATTTTGTTTGTTTATGTGTGTTTTATTAGATTGTAATTCAAAAAACTACTTAAGAAAATTGTTTTTGTTTTTTATGTGTTGTTGGTTAACATTTTGTTTAAAGTAGTTTTTGTTTTTCTTCTATTTATATATGTATAACATCACATTATAATAATTACTAATTAATAGTTATATTTTTTGCTTTTTCTTTTTGTTTTTTTTTTTGCATTATTCTTTATAAATGTAGTTAATGCACAAATACTAAATGTCGTAATAATATGTTGTTTGTTTATTAAATTTTGCAAAAAACGTATAATTTGTTTCATTTGTTTAATGCTAAGAGTTTTTGCTGTTGCCGTTTGCCTTTTGCCGTTTGTTGTTGTTATTGTTACACAGAAGTTCTAGCATAATAATAATTATAATGACTATTTACATGCAGCTGAATAATATACATATAATAAATGAAAACTTGTTGTTATTGTTGTTGTTGTGTGTGGCAACACATCATAATTAGATGCTAGATTAGTTAATTGAGAGTTTGTTGTTGTCGAGCGACAACATTGCAATGGCAACACGTGCCACGCATATTTTCATATGAAAGCTCCTCCGCCCGATCCCAGCTAACCAAAATTAAATCAACCACCCCCTCCCATCGCTCTCCTCGCATTTTGTAAATGGCCAACTGCTACGGGTTCCGTTCCGACTTGGTTAAATTGAATTTTCCAATTGTGCGCCTCTAGCTGGTTGAGCACGAGTTCGACGTGGGCGTGGCTTTCCATACATTCGCCCAGCTCCGCGTTCCGCACGCGTTAATTAGTCAGCAGCAGGCTCTTCTTCTCGTTCGGGCTTCTGTTCCTGCTGCTGCTGCTGTATCCTGGCACACCTGGCTGGCGCTACGTGACCGTTGCCCGTTTCTGGTTGGGCTGCCTTTTCAGCTTGGGCTTCATCTGCAAGCGAAATATGAATAAAACGAATGAGTTGAATTTACAATTGTTAGCAAAAGTTTTGCCTGTGCCTCGTGACCCACAGCCCCACTCACAAAACCCCAGAAGAGTTCGCTGCATTTCTCTGACCACAAAACTAACTGCAGCCCCAAACTGCAGGCAATGCGCCAAACGAGCTGCGGAAACGGAATTATGAATGTGGCCATGTCTGTAGAGACATCTGTGTGTGTGTGTGTGGGTGTGCTTCAAATAGGTCAAGCAACAGGATATTGCAACCCTCACACATTCCAGCCCACACACAAGTGGGTGTGCGTGTGTGTGTCTGTGTGTGTGTGTCAACAACTAAAGCATTTCCATTCTCATTTTATCTGTGGTTGCATACCCTACACTTAACCGACACGGCATACTCCAAACTTTTTATTGCTATAGAATACAAAATATTTCAGTTTTTGTTCAATTTTATGACCTATTTAATTCCAAGGGCAGCCAATAAAACGTTTACGAATGACGAGCAAAGCAGAGCAGAAGAATCCAAAACGATTTCAAGGAACTCTTGCAAACGTCGATATTGAAAACTCGTGCATTTTATTTGAGTAGATGTTTTTTTTTTTGTTACCCATACGATTTGTCAGTCGAACGTTTACGAATACAGCACAAAAGAAGATATCAGAAAAATGTACTTAACAGGGCTTACTTGAATCTTCCTATTGCTTCTCAAATCTCACATGCATACTTACAATTTTTAT